GCAAGAAGTGACTGGCTTACAAGCTTTCAAGAGGGAGTCTAGATCCAGAAGGCACGGAGGAAGGTAGAATCTTCACTGAGTAGCAGTCAATCTGTCTGGGCGGGACTGATGAAAGGAGATGTGGATAGTACTCATATGGTACAATAGTGAATAATTACTATCAGGACTGACTGTGAGAGTTGCAAATGTGAAGGTAGACGTTTTGTAGCAAAAGGAGGGGAGTGGTTGACTTTGCAGTCCAGGAGCGGAGGGTCCTGGGACCATCAAGGGAGAAGAGCAGAGTGTAGGACCCTACCCAGAGAAGCAGTGATGCCAGAGATGGAGGTAGAGATGATGATGTGGCAAGATGGAGCAGCTGGGAACTTTAGACCCAGAGAGGGAGAGGGGCTGTGTGCTGATGACCAGGGGGGAGGCTTGTGTGGTGTACCATTTGGTTGGCTGACGATGCTTGGAGGGGACTGTAACCATGGCAACGATATACGATAGGATGAATGTAAAGCTAATGTTCTCCCATGTAAACGATCACATAATTCACAATAAAACATTTAAAAAAAGCAGCAAGGTAATAAAGAAAATAAATAAAAAAGGATGTGTTATATATACATACACTTCAGCTACAACCTCTTACCTGTTGTCTGTTGAAAGACCAGCGGTAGCTATCAGAGATGAGGAACTAACGAAGACAAAGTCATTGGCTGTTTTGTTATGACACTGCCAAGTCTGAAATGGTGATAATAAATGTTATTACAGTCACTAAAGGTTTCAATTCTAAGTAGGTATATCATTCAAAGGATGATTATGTAGCTTTTGTGGCTTAAACTTTTTTTTTCTTCAGACTTTAGTCTCTCCCTTTTCCATATACATAAAAATATACACACATACACACACAATTTGTTTTTCTAGAACCATTAAAGTAGGCTGCATGTGTCATGCCCCTTTATGTGGTCCTTTGCTTTGTTCAATTAAAAGTTCAAAGGGAAAGAAAAGATTAAATCTCAAATATTTCTCTTAATATTTTTGATAAAAAATTTTGTTTTACAAGACAGAAATAGATTTTAGATGACCTCAGACTTAACTATATTTGCTAATATTTCTGATATATTTTTTAGCAGTAAAAGATAAAACTGATTATATTTTTCAAAAATATTTAATTGTTCAAATACATGAATAAAATATATTACTAATGGTGGTGGTGGTGGTGGTTATGTGCCGTGGAGTTGGTTCCAACTTACAGAGACCCTATATAGGGTCATCTTTACACACTGTGTCACCCACTGTGTCAACTACTGTAGAGTCCAAAAATATTATAAAACTGGGGTTCTGAATTTACATTTAACTCATGTGACCAAGTTTTATCATATTTAGGTTAGAAAACATATTTAGGCTGTGAATTTTTACGGGAGCAGAAAACCTTGTTTCTCCAATGGAGCCTCTGGTAGATTAGAACTGCTGACCTTGTAGTTAGCAGCCCAATTTGTAACCCCTAGTCAATAGAATTAGAGAATGAACTGTATTTTGCAATAGTTCATCAAAGAATAATTTCAGAGTTTCCAAGACTGTACATCTATATAGTGGCAGAAAATATTTTCTCCCGGAAAGGTTAGAAGGTTTGAACTGCCAACTTAGCAGTTAGCAGTTTAGTACTTATCCTACAGTGCCACTAGCTTAGTCAGTTCAAACAGCGTCCAACTTAATGTTTGCTCAGATGTTTCTCTTTAATAAAACTTGAATTTTTTAAGTATACCAAAATCATCATTAAGAATTTTTCATTTGGGTCACCTTTCCCATTGAGCTGAGGTAGTCAATGTATTCTTGAAACAAAAATCTATTTTGATCCCCTAAGCCATTCTATGTGTATTTTAAATCTGATTTATCTTTTTAAAAGTTAAAATAAATGCATCCCCTTAAGGAGTCCAATTGTTCATATTTATATCTGTTGGCTTAAAGAAAATATGAGACATTAATAGTTTGTCAGGATACCCTGGACACCCTCACTATCTAATCTTCCCTTGCTGACTCCCTTATATCAGCAGTGTACTCCAGCATTTACTCTTGGGTTGACCAGAATCTTAGCCCATATCCTGAATTTCTTCCTAAAAGGTGTTGCTTAGTTTTGTAAATGGCTTCAATAAAGAATGTATTAAATGTGAATACACAGTTTTATTAAGTCCTAGAAGTCTGTTAATCCTTTAGAGTCCTGAATAGAACTATATACTGGTACATTTAAAGAAATAGACAAAATATAATAGTATCAACTATTTGTCTTATCTACTTTGTTTGTTCATAAGGAATAACTGAAGAAAAATAATCAGAGGTATTGGTGTGTGGGTCACTCTGTTTAGGTATAGTACCTACTGTGGTGAGGTTGAAAAAAAAATACCTACTGTGATGAGGTTGAAAGAAGGCTAGACCATAGGTTGTATGGGTCTCTAAAATTTATTATTCTGGTCCTCTACAGTTTAATTTTCTAAGTTATTAGGGATGATTTACATACTACACAGGAATTTATATACAGTATAAGGACAGGTTGGTGGTTCAAGCTCATTAGCTGCTCCTTGGAAACCCTATACAGGGTTGCTGTGGGTTGGAATCGACTTGACGGCACTTCACAACAATAACAAAATAAGGATAGGAGCTTACAGAAATGTGACCAATACATATGACTATATAGATTTTATTTATTGGCTTTAATATTTCTTGCCTAAATATAAATTCTCAGTTTTCTTAAAATAAAAATGTTTATTTTTTTTTAAGGTTAAAAATTGTTGTCTTACCAGGTATGGCTTAGGTATGCTTCCAGTAACTGGGCAACATTTCCAATTTGTTTGATATAAACTCAGATATCCGTCAGCATCAACTATTCCAAACTTAGAGAAAGAATATTTTAAAATTTTTACTACAAATAAAAAAATTCTAATTTAATATTTTAATCTCATTATGCCTCTAATATACTGACTCTTAAACACTGGATTGATACACTGTTTGAGTTTTCATTTTAAATATGTATGAACCTACTTGCTACTACTCAAAAAATTACAGTGTGGACATAAGGAAACAAATAATCAGAATGCACATATTTTATTATATTAACTTTTACTTCACCCACTGTGTCATCTTTACACATTGTGTCACCCACTGTGTCAACTACTGTAGAGTCCATAAATATTATAAAACTGGGGTTCTGAATTTACATTTAACTCATGTGACCAAGTTTTATCAAATTTAAGTTAGAAAACATTTTCATTCTGAAAAAGAAAAAATAAGTACTTCCAGAAGCATACAATAAGGGAAACACATAAATAGCAGAAAAATAAAATAAACAAGGATTATCACAATGTAAGAATTCCACTATAAGAACTCTGAGCAAATCTGATTGGGAAGACTTCAAAAATGAAAGAAGTATTTGAGTAAGACTGTTAAAACAATGCATATCAATATATGTTTACAATAAACAAATGTCTATTTTGTACCTGCCCCCAGGTCTAACAACAATTTGATGTATTCTCCTTTAGAATTAGTTCTATGTATGTTCAAATATTCAGACATACAGATAGATTTCTGAGTTTTTTTTTTTGAACACCAAGATTATAATAAATATACTGTTCCACACTTACATTTTTACTTATTATAGCCATCTTTCCACATATGTATATACACATTTACCTCATTTTTATGCTGTTACAGTACACAGCACTGTAATTGCTTACACTTTCCTTATAAACAATTTCTAATTTTCTCCATTATAAAAACTTTTGCTTATTCTTATACATGTACCTTTAAATATTTTTGTAGATAAAAACAACAAAAAACAAACCTAAGGTCGTTGAGTCAATTACAACTCACAGTAACCCTATGGTGGTGGTTATGTGCTGTGGAGTCGGTTTGACTCTTAATGACCCTGTACAAGGTTTCTGAGACTGTAAATCTTTACAGGAACAGAAAGCCTCATCTTTCTCCTGAGGAACAGCTGGTAGTTTCACACTGCTGACCTTGAGTTTAGCAGCCTGATTCATAAGCACTATGCTACCAGAGTGCCTTACAGTAACCCTATGTTGTTATCGAGTGCCGTCAAGTCAGTTCCGACCCATAGCGACCCTGTATAGGGTTTCCGAGGAGTGGCTGGTGAGTTTGAACAGCTGACTTTGCAGTTCAAACTGACTTAGCAGTCCAGCACATTAAAACAACCCCACACCAGGACTCCATAGTAACCCTAGTGGTTACAAATCAGGCTGCAAACCTTAAGGTCAGCAGTTCAAAACTACCAGCTATTCCACGGGAGAAAGATGAGGCTTTCTGCTTCCGTAAAGATTCACAACCTCGTAAACCCTCTACAGGGTCGCTATGAATCGGAACCGACTCCATGGCATGTAACAACAACAACAATCTTTACAGAGTTCTGGTGTGACGCTGTGTTAATACATCAGACTACAAAGCCGTTTAAACTGCAATGTTGGTGGTTCAAGCTCACCAGGTGCTCCTCAGAAACTCTCTATACAGGGTAACTATGGGTTGAAAATGACTCGACGGCACTTAACAACAACAACAATCTTTAGAGAAGAAGTATCCTTCTCCTGCAGAATGGTTGGTTGGTGGGTTGGAATTACAGAACTTTCAGCTAACAGATGAGTGCTTAATCATTGTACCACTAGTCTCTTTTCCTGTAGGAAAAATATATAGAAATGGGAAAGCTTTGCTACAGAGTATCATTTAAAATTGATAGATAAAGTAATAACTCAACTTGAAATGGTAATATCAACTTACATACCAACGTTTAAAAAAATTCTTAGTCAATATTGGGTATTGTTAAAATTTTAAATATTTGTCAACTTCAAGCTTGAAAAACCAGGCTCTTAAATTGCATTTCTGCAATTATTAGTAAGTATTATTGACCATTCACAGTTCCCTAGGAAACTGAATGTTAAATTTCTGTATTTCTGTAAGTTACTTGTCCATGAAAAATTTAACTGAAAGACCTAATATTAGGAATTTAACTCATTGTTTACTAAACTTGTTACAGGTAATTTTTTCTGTTTATGATGTATCCATTCTTTCAGGAATAGATGTAGGTATGGTTTTCAGAAGTCGATATAAGGTAGATTATGGAAGGTGACAAGGGACAGCCTACAGAATTTGGACTTAAATTTAAATATAATAAGGAGCCTTGAAGAGTTCTTGAAAATAAAAATTGTATGACTTCATTTATATTGTAGTTAATATAATTATGATGTTTATTATATAACTTTGTTGGTAACATTGAGGATGAATTAGAGATGAGTTTAGATATTGAGACTAATAAACAATATAATATGATAAGCAAAATGGAAAATTAAAAAGACAGAATATTGATAGGAAATACAATGGAAAATATTATAAACTTCTAAGGGATTCAATACAAACCCCCATTAATTTTCTATTAAGGAGCAAAGAATATTGGTAGTTGGTATTAAGAAATTTTATGCTTTCAAAACTTTGCTGTTAATGAAAAAGATTATCACTGACTTTTGTGAATTGAATTTTAGATCCATGTGATAAACATAGTAAACAAAAAGTTTGCAGCAAACCATGAGACAGGTTTCATGTCATAACAGTAGAAAGTTGGAAGAATGCAAGAAAAGGGAAGGCAACATGGTACTATCAACCAAAGACAGTGTGAGTGGATTTTAGTAAAGCATGGTTCTGAAGACAGATAGCAATTTGATTTGCCCTTTAATAGCTAGGGGCAGAGAAAGAGATGGTTTGAGGAAATGGCAGATTATAAAAAATGAAGATTGTAAGGGATGTTCTAGTAGAGAGCTTGGCCAACTTTCTCTGAAAGAGACTGACAATAAACATTTTAGGCTGGTCATATGGCCTCCATCCTCTTGAACTCTGCTGTCTCAATAAGAAAATGGCCACCGAAAACATATAAATGAATAGACAAAGAACTGTTGCAATATAATTTTTATAAAACAAGCAATCAAACCATAATTTGCTGATGCCCTGTCTATAGCAAAGCTTCTCAAAACTTTAATGCACATATAAATCACCTGAGTTTGTGGTTAGACTGCAAATAGTGACTGAGCAGTCTGGGTTGGGAACAATATGTTTCTAACAAGCTATTAGATGATACTTGCTGCTTAGTGTTGGATCATACTTTAAAATGCAAAGTTCCAGAGGATAAAGAAAGTGATGTTTCTTATAATCACTTAGTTTTTTAAAAAGTTACTTAAGTAAAATTTAAATCTATAAAATGTACTTCTAGGAAGAAGCAAATTAATTTAAGTATATTCCCTGAGAGAATTAAAAATACCACATTTTTTTGTAGCAACAAGACTAGCACAATGAGCTATTTTCTTTAGACACCCAAACTACAAATAGTTATAAACCTTCGATACAATCAAAGTATTTTCACATTTGTATTTCTATATACTACCTTATTTCCCTGATAGTTAAATCTCATTCTTGTAACTCGTGAATTGCCACCAGATCGAAAACAGGTTATCTGTTGAGAATGACCCCATTCAAACATTCTGACACTTCCATCTTGAGCGCCTGTCAGATCTGCATTATAAGAGGGGAAAAAATTACAGATTCATTTTAACGATGTTTTAAAATTGTATCACATGTGAACTGTCTCATGGTGTGCTGCAATCTTTTAGTCTACTATGCTTATCACAAGGCTCTAAATTCATTCCACAAAAGTTAGTGATATTCTTTTTCATGTAACAGCAAAATTTTGAGAACATAAAATTTCTTAATGCCAACTACCAATATTCTTTGCTTAATAGGAAATTAATGGAGGTTTGTATTGAAGCCCTCAGAATTTTACAATATTTTCCACTGTATTTCCTATCAATATTCTTAGTTGTGTTGATTTCCCATTTCCATTTTAAATGATTTCTTTCACAAAAATCTTTATGGAAGAAGCATCCACAAAAATGAATCATGGTCAATTTCTATCTTTGTATGAACTTTAACTTGAATATTTGTCATCATATAAAACAAATAGTTACATGTAACATTATTTGATTAAGACTATATCCTCAAAACAATTTAAATATTTAGATTTTTTTAAACTGAAAAATATTTATTATGCTCTGTAACAAATTATGTACACATAGGTTATAGAAAAGGTTGCTTTTTGTAACGAACATATATTTAGATACTTTGAAAAGTTTTGTTTTTTACACTGACTTCAAAATGATCTTTTTTAAGAACTACAGGTTTGTAATTCTAGTTAGTAGTACATCAGAAGATGTCTGCTAATCGTTATTGTCTAGTATCCCAGTATCTCAAAGATGAGGGAGAGGGAATTCAAAACACATATATTTTAAATGCCAAAAAAACACAAACAAGTCAAATGAATAGCAATTGATTTTCTCATTCCTTTTTTTTTTTTTTAAGCATTATCAAAGGATTGTCAATAAATATTCTAAGTATTTCTGAAGTGATTTCTCTTAATGCTGTATTTGTCACTGCTGTTTGTTATAAAAGGGGAATGAGATATCAGTCACTGGATTTTTAGGAAAATTAAGTGAAATATTTAATATAAAGCACTTAGAAATATGCCTAGCATACAACAAGCACTTATGTACAAGTATCAGTATTAATGTGGTATAGGTATAGCTAGAAATTATATTAATGTATATATAGTAAGTTGTTAGTCACATATTAGTCAAGTTTTCTACATTTTTCACCAAGTATTTAAAGTGAATAGACTTCAATAATTTTGAAATGTTTTATCATTGGACCATGTTAGAAGGGGAATAGAATTTCTTGAGGCTGGGATTGTTAACTTCCCTTCTTCCCCAAACAAGCTTGTTTAGCTTGAATGAATTAGGCTAGCTACATTAAAGACCACTCAAACTTTTCTAATATTACTTATCGTTTTAATTATCTGAAAAAAATCCCTGGTTATTAATGTAGTTAAAACCTATGAGACCTGGAACCTGATGGGACTGTCATGTTTTTAAAGGTCTTGCAAGTTTTCTGCCTTTGACAGGGCACAGTCTTACCACACTTCTATCACTTGCAATCTGTGGAGAACATTTGAGTTTTCATTCCCTGACAGGTTTTGTCTTACACAGGTTCCAGCTCCTGCAAGTACCAATGGAGCTTTACATGTAAAATTAAATACTCCATTAAAAAAAAAAAAAGTTCCTGTGAATAAAAGGTAAAGTAGAGGATCAGTGGAAAGGAGGGAAACCTTAAATGAGATGACCTCCATAAAAACTTCAACAATGGACTAAAACATATAAAAAATTGTAAGACAACATTTCATTGTGTTATACATAAAGCTGCCATGAGTAGAAAGCCATCTCTGTGGCAACTAACAGCAACAAAAATATAATAGGTTGCTTGAGAAATACTCCTCACTGACAACTGAAGAATGTGACATCATACAGATACAGAAAAGTCAACTATAAATCTAAAAACCTTAGCATGCTGGTAATTTAAAATAAAATAGAGTTTTCTTTTTAAGATTTCAATTTCTAATTTAATATAACCCTCTGCCACTACAGATTAGAAAACTCATATCCAAAGAATATGAGTGATCAGTCCAGACCTAGATCTATAACTTTCAATCCTCATCCTTTAAATGAAAAATATAAGCTATTATGGTAGTTATTTTTTTTCCCATTACTGTGAATTCTCTGAGATCAAAGAACGTGGTCATTTTAATCGTGTTTACCAAGTATGTATATGTAGAACTTACTACACAATAGGATTACAATAAATATTTATTGAAAAGGAAAAAGATATTGAATATTTGAAAGAACAAAAATGACTCTAGGAAAGTATATACAGTGTTACAAAAGTTTATGAAAAAAATGGGATAAAAAATATATTGGAATTTTTCCATGAACTTTTAGAAGCCTCCTCAGAAATAAATACAACAGCCTAACTTCTAAAAATTTCAATGGAGTAGGTGTCAAAACTCAGCTTACAGTGACTAACAATTTTAAGCACTGGACCGCTAACTGCAAGGCAGTTCAAACCCACCAGCCACTCCAGGAAAACCCTATATAGGGTTACTATGAGTTGGAACTGACTTGACGGAACTTAAAAACAACTCCAAGGGAAGAAAGGAGTTACTTTAAATTATCTATTTCAGAGTCAGATTTTCTGAAATTCTGTCTCAATGTATCTATTTTGGGGGGAGAAAAATCCAGCCATTAACTAACTTTCACCTTTTCAAGTCTCTTCTTACTTGCTAGTTATAGCGTTCTTTGGACAAAGCGTTGTTGTTGAGGTTGTTATTAAGAGCTGTTGAGTCAGTCCTGGCTCACAGCAATCCTGTACAGCATTACCAAGGAGAGGCTGTGGGTTTGAACCACTAAACTTGTTGCTAGCAGCCCAGTGCTTATTCTACAGCATGACACTAGGATTCCTCTGAACAAAGTACTTATCACAAAGCAGAAGTGATTTGATGTTACCCAATATCTGGTAGTGTAGTGGTTACAAATCGGGCCGTGAACCACAAGGTCAGCAGTTCGAAACTACCAGCTGTTCCGTGGGAGAAAAGATAAGGCTTTCTGCTCCCATAAAGACTTACAGCCTTGGAAACCCTGTACAGGGTCGCTATGAGTTGGAACCGACTCCACTGGACATAACAACAACAACAACAACATCTTTGATGCAGTCTTGGTGTGGCACTGTGGGTTAATGTGCCAGACTTCAAAAGCATTTGAATTGCAAGGTCGGTGGTTCAAGCTCACCAGCTGCTCCTTGGAAACCCTATACAGGGTCGTTACAGGCTGGAATCGACTTGATGGCACACAACAACAATAGTATCTTTGATAAATATTCATGATAAGAATGTGTATGTTGGAAACAAAGAGGAAGGATCAGCAGTTGGAAAATATGGCCCTGGTCATAGAACTGATGCTGAAGAGTTCATGACAGAATTTTACAAGAACAATCAGGATGAAACTGAAGAAAATTAAAACAAATCTATGAGCTTGAATACATCTCACTTAAATTTTGAGACCATCTCAAGAGCAGATTTAATGCATTAGACATCAAGATCATAAGAAAATAAATCAAAGGCCATTAAAAAGGCATGAAAAACATTCAAGAGGGAACCTAGATCCAGAGGGCCTGGAGGAAGGTAGAATCTCCAGTGAGTAGTATTCAATCTGACTAGGCGGAGCTGATGCAATGAAATGCAGACAGGTCTCTTGTGATACAATAGTGAATAATTGTTATCAGGACTGATTGTGAGGGTCGTAAATGCAAAGATAGATGTTTTAT